ATTTTTAAATAAAAAAATACAAAATTCAAATCCTTATTTGCACAATTTCTCCAAATTTCTCCTTGCTTAACTCAAAATTCAAATTTGAGTTCAATTTAAAATCTTAAGATTTTTAATAAATTGAATCACTAATAAAATAAAACCATAATTTTTGTAAATTTATAGTTTATAATGTAACATTAAATATTATGGTAGATTAATGAATAAAACTAGTGAATTATATAACCTTATATAACCACATGACATAATAATACTGGAACACCATATTGCATTTTTGGAAGGCAAAACTATATGTTAACTTCTTAAATTTATTTTAAATTCTTAATTAAACCCTAAAATTTTTATTAAGATAAATAAGCATTTTAAATTTATCGATCTAAGTAATTTAACTCTTTTTCTTACAATAGACTTAATGCCTGTTTATACCTTACTTATATGAATAAAGCGATGCATAAACTGACATCAAGTTTGCAGGAAAGAAGATTAGTTAAATTGTCCAGATTATTAAGTTTAGGGCTTATTTACTTCAATAAAACTTTAAAGACTTAATTAAGAATTTTGGATAAGTTTAGGGGCTCAACATAGGGTTTTGCCTTTTCGGAAATCGGCATAAAAGGAAACGAATTTAAAGGGGACAGACAGGAAGGTTGGAGTGGCAGTGATTTTGCTTTGCATCGTCTTCTAGATTCAGTTCCGACACCCAATGGATTAAGCCAGCTTTCACAAGGAACAACAATGGAGGTGGAATTGAGACAGATGCTTGATGATCTACAATCCATCAGGCACTCTTCATCCGTCCCTTCATTTCATGCTTCAATCGACAAGGTTTTTTCAATTTCTACCTTCATTCATATTCCATTTCTAGTCAATTAAGATCAACCATTTGGTAGCTTTAATTAAGAAATGAAAACGGGACTGAATTCTGATTTTTAGTTAGTATTTGCATCTTCATCTGTCAAGCACCTAAGTCAATCCCTCGGAATGGGTTCTGAATGGAAAGATCTTTGCTTTTCTATGTTTCTTTGTTCCAGTTTTATCCGACTAAATACCCATGGCTTTTTTCATGAATATTTTGCTTCTGCCTATCAATGTTCTTTTCTTGGCTATTAATTTGGTTACTCATTATGTAGTTTGTTTTTATTAAGGTTGTCTGCTCTCTTTCCATTCTTGACATGAGGAAAACACTCCAATAGAGGTTTATTTCCTTGGGAAGTTGTGTTTTCTTGTGGGGTCAATCGCTGGAAAATTTTAAAGCTCAAATTTAGTCATGTTTATATAATGCATGCACGTTTAGTTATGAGGATAAAGAAGTTTGTGAGGAATCTTGCTCCATTTATGACTGCTTTGCTGTGTGCTTCAGCTGCAATCTCGTGTTGATCATCTCACTCATCTTGCAAAGGCTGTATCTGTTCAGCGATCAGAAGTCAAGGTTCTTGTCTCATGTATTTTGTCTCACCATTTTATTTTATTTTATTTTCCCCTCCCTTATTGGCATTATTCTAGTTCTGGTTTATGGTAATTGAGTGAACTTGTAATTGACTTTGCATGGCAGGATATGAGTGCTGAGGTGGTTGATAGCAATCCTTACTGTAGGCTTATGGCACTTCAGAGGATGGGTATTGTGGAGAACCATGAAAAGACACGGGAATTCTCAGTTGCTATTGTTGGCTGTATTTATCTTCTCTTTCTATTTATCTTTTCATCAAAACCTTATTATAGAACATGTTATTAGTTCCATGATATTGCTGGTATTGCAACTCTTCAGCCTTGATTACGTCCAATTGGTTTCTCATTCATAAGCTTCATTAACTTTCAGGGGATTGGTGGTGTTGGTAGTGTTGCAGCTGAGATGCTAATGAGATGTGGCATTGGTTGCCTTTTGTTGTATGATTATGATAAGGTGGAGTTAGCAAACATGAAGCGGCTATTCTTTCCTCCAGAGCAGGTGCTTACTCACATTATTTTCTGTAGAAGAACACAAGTTGGATATGATGTGCATTGTAATATTAAATGCAGGCATTTCTTCTTAACTGCTAACTTGTTCAAACATTAATACCCATGATGCTGATTTGTCTTTGTCTCACATAATCTGATTTTTGGTATGACCAAGACTGATGCTGCTGTTCAGACCCTTTCTGACTTAAATCCTGATTTTGTGCTTGAGGTGAGCTTATCTTGAATATCATGCTTCGTTTTACTCACAAGGTAAGTATGGGCTGGGGTTGGCCTTATTATTACATACCAGAAGGGAAATGAAAAGATGGGCTGAAAATTATAAATTTTGTTTTCCCTTACCTCTTTTGTCTGTAAAGTTGATGCTTGTCTTTCTTTCTCCAGCATCTTTCAGGGGGACATGCCACTTTTATTGTATTCTTTATTCCTAACTACATTTCTAACATGCCTTAGAGTTTGGAGATGCCATGCCTGAAACCTGTAATTTAATGATAAGATTTTAGTATCTATTTTCCTTTTGAAATTGAGAAGGGGAGTTGGGGCAATTCAGTTCATATTGAAATAAGTTTAAGGGCAGGAATAGATTCCTAGATTAGTAGAGAGGATGTATAATAGTTCCCTAACCTGTATAGGAGTCAATTAATATGCAATCCTACTGTCTTTTCCAAGAAGTTTCACTGACCTTTGAACATCATGGGTTAAATTTGAAAAGAGTTCAATTTAGGCTGTCACTACTTTTGTAGAAATTGCTTGCTGGTTCATTTGTCTCTAGAGCTATACATTAAACATCACAACAGTGCAAGGATTTGAGACCTTTATGTCAAGCTTGAAAAACTAACCATTCTGCCCAAGTAAAAAAGGTACTGGCTTGGATCTTGTTTTAAGCTGTGTAGACAATCATGAAGCAAGGATGGTTGTCAACCAGGTATACATTGACATCTATGTTTGATAGCTTTTTCATTTTCCTCTGGAACTTTCTTCTGTCTAAACTTGAGCTTTTAATTTTTTGTGCGTATCCAGGTCTGCAATGAGTTGAATCAAACATGGATGGAGTCTGGTGAGCAATTTAAATTCATTGTTTGTTGTGATGACTGAAATTGATTGATTTTGTTGGTAGACACAAAATAGTGAAAAAAAGCATTTATTAACTCAACCTGAGACTACTATATGAAGTTCCTCCTGAAAGATTAATATGATGCCATTAAATAGATAGGATTTTTCTTTTGATCCATGCCTTAATGAGCCTACTCTTGTGTGCTAAGACAAATTGATTTCGCAATAAGATGCTTAAGGGTGCAAATGGAAAGAAAATGAGTTACCATTGCTTAAATATACTTGCAGTGCTATTGAACTTTTTTGATGAAATATTGTCATTGGATGGGCTAGCACATGATAAATGAATGATAAGGCCTGTTAGTTCCTACATTCGACTTGTTTGGAATGCAGTTGTATATTGCCTGAGTCAGTTTTCTATCTATCCATATAAGTCTGATTGGGGTTATAAAGTCTAACTTAAGCTAAACAGATCTAAGAAATATCACTAGCAAGAAACACAGAAAAATTAGATTATCCTTTCTAGGATTGGAACTTGTCATGGTCGACCATTTCATCTCCAGAATTTTCTTGTTTGGAGTTTGCTGGTTCTTTGTGTCATATTCTCTTCTGTTTCTTTTTCAACCTATGATCCCCTGGCTAGCCTCTCAGCTTCTTTGTTAATTTTACTTGCATTCTCTTTTTTTTTTTTTTTTTTTTTTTTGATAAAGATAGTTTATGGTAAAAAGAAGTAAAAAAAAATCTAAGATTAAGCTAACTACATACTACAATAGACACTTATAGTGATATTTAAGTCACCATCAATGATTTAAATATCATCAAACCTAAGAATAGGCCATCAATGAATTAAAACTTCACCAACTAAGCAATTCATGAGTAGCAAGAATAGAATTTTTAAGTCACTAATTAATATACTACATTTTACAAGTTCTTTTAGAGCACAAACTAATATATAATACTCGATATGTATGAAAGATTTGTAGATTCAAATTTAAATTGAATAACCTTGAATAAAGATTATATGTTTAAAAATAATACTTCAAACTACCATCAAAGAAACAATCATTGAAAAACAATTATTGAAAATAAGTAAGGTAATAATGTAAACATCATATAATTTAATTAATCTTCATTTTTTAATCATCTTTTATAGCATCTTCATTTTTTAATCTTCTTAATAATCACTTAAAGTATCCAATAAATCAATAAACAAGAAAATTATAAAAAAAATGAAATATAAAAATTAGGGATAAAAATGATTAAAATAAAAATTAATGGACCAAAGTTACTTTAGATACAAACTTAAAAACCAAAATCTAATTTTTTTTCTCTGAAGCCACGGAGCCACAACCTCGGGGCGTAACGTAGCTTTGCTACTGCTGATTTGCATCATTTGAGGAATTTGAGGGGTTTGAGGACTTCTTTGCACATTTTTTAGTTCAGGGACTTACATATTGACTTGGAGTAAGTCTAGAGGTTTAAGAGTAGGTTTTGTCATGAAATTTCTACTTTTTTTTTTCATTAAAATATTAATACTCCTAATCACATATTTAAAACAATGTAGAGATACATGTATACATATAATAGATC